TTGGGATCTTTTTCATTCACTTTTATTACTTTATTTAATGAATTCCTCCTGGGGGTTTAGGGTAGGAATTTTACAGAAAATGGGCTTACTGCTCCGAAACACTTGTGACAGAGGAAGATCCAAAGGCTAAATCCATCTCCTGACCCATTGGACGGTGCTCAGCCTGTGAATAACCCATACTACCTATAATCTCTTTGAAAATCCCACCTCAGGGGGCTTTATACTTGATGTTCTCTCTGCTGGAACACTGTGCCCCAGATATTCCCATGGCTTCCTCTGTCTGATCTTTCAGGTCTCAGCTCAGAGAAGCCTTCCCTGACCACTCACTAGCTGAAGTTGAGCTCCTTCCCCCAGGAATGCTCTACATCACCTGTTTTCATTGCCTTCATAGGGCTATCGCTCTTTGAAATTATTTTCTTTATCTAGCCCATGTTTATAGTATGTCTCCCCATAGCAGAATACAAGCCCCAGGGGGGAAGGAACTATGTCTGTCATGTGCTGCATGCCTAGCATGAACAGGTGCTCAGAAAGTATCAAGTGTATGGATGCATGTCTTCCCTTTCCACTCCACTCCTGTGCCCACAACAGCCCACAGACAGGACCTCCACTCCTTTCCCCCTAAGGGCTCTGGAGGGCCCCTGGAGGATTTGGTATTAGAAATCCCATCACCAAATCCAGCCCTGTTCATCACGTTTATCTAGCCCCTCTCAACTGGCAGGTAAGGATAGCCCTTTTTCAGCCACGTCTGGGGCTCTCCAGATGTGCCTCTGCCTTCAAGGAAGGCAGTGAGGCGGAAGAGGGATGAGGCGGAGGAAGTTACCCTCCAGACACTGCAGAGCAGGAGAGACCAAAAGGAGGGGAATCTCCCAGCCCCAAAGAGCTCTCTTCCTGCAGACAATCTGGGCTCCAGCTCCTCTCCCAGCTGAGGCCATGTGGCCAAGAGGCGCCAGAAGCAAAGTTCGGGCTTTTTCAGAGCTGTCAAAGGCAATAAGCGATACAGTTCAGGCTGCTCAGTCTCACGCCTCACCCCCTAGCCGCAGCCATGGTCAACTGCTTTGGGCCCATTCTTCCTTTTTTGTCAAATGATCAGTCCCCAGGAGGGTCTGCCTGCCCATGCTCCCCCTCCTACCTGCCTGTTTTGGGAAAGACATCCCAGTCCACCACTGAGAGACAGACCACCAGGATTAGACTCCTATAACCCTGGTCAGGGATAGCTAGCGAGAGAGACTGTGGGTCCTGGGCCTCCCAGGTCCACCAGTTACTAGACGTGAAGCTTTGAGGAAGTCTCTGGACCTCTCTCTCTAGTTCAGTGTCTTCATTTTTCAAATGGGAGCAAGCATAGGTCCCTTCTCACCACGATGTCATGAGTATTAAGGTCATGCAGGTAAAATAGCGCAGCGCTGAAGGTTAGCTCCTGACAACCAGGGAGAAACTGCGAGAACCAGTGAGATCTGGAAGCAGGGCCTTTGAGAGGACTTCTCAGTCTCCGGCAGAGGCTGGAGCCACACCTGACTCAGATCTGGATCAGAGGTCCAAAACGGAAAACTCATTTGTTTCATGTTTCACCCAGGGCCTTCTGTTTGCCTGGGTTCTTTTTGAAGACCTTCCACCCCTGGAGATGCTGAAGACAGCAGAGTAGCCCCAGTGATCAAAGGTGATGGCATGTGAGGGAACCAGAGGCCCTTGATCTGTAGACCCCACCAATCCCTGCAGCCAGGGCTAGTGGTCTCTCTTCCAGCTCCAAGGATCTGGGAGGGAAAGTCCAGTGATGTTTTGCTGGATATTGCAAAGACAATCATCTGCTTCCAACCATTTCCTCTCAGCCTACCTGCATGACCATGAGTCTCAATTCTGTCATCTGTAAAGCAGGGATAACAAAACGTACCTCCTAAGTTGCAGCAATGAGTACCCAAGTTGATCTGTCCAAGGCAACGAGCACATACGTTGCCACATGTTGGCTACTTCTGACTTCAGCACCTTAGTGCCTTCTTTTATTTGTATGTGTTTGGTGGGACTTGGGCTATTGCTGCCCTGGGCTCCAGAATGCTGCCAGCCTTGAGCCTGCTATCAGAAAACAACAGGCAGAATCCCCCGTCTACGGCAAGGGTCCGCTGGGCAGCAGTCTCTCAGCCAGGTCAGGCCTGTGGCCTGGCCTCCTCCCTGGTCCACAGGTCTTATTCCCTCCTGAAGCCTGCCTCCTGCGTTAGCACCCTGTCCTGTAAGCGCTCTGTGAGTTGGGGCAGGGGCTGTCTGCTGTCTTCTCCAGGCCTCTCCCACAGAGGAGTCAAGCACAGAGCTGGGTCCCCCGAGGGCTGGTTGGTTGGTTAACAGCCAGGTTCATGTGGCGGCACCTCTCACCCCTCAGCTCTGCCTGGTCCTCCCCCAGCATCCAGGGTACCTTAACCCCTGCTCTCTTCTCTAGCTTTCTGGGCTTAGCAGGAGCCAGGACCACAACAGGATAGAGAATGGGGAGAGGAGTCAGCACAGACTGTAGGATTCTTCCATATGGAAAGCCTGTCCCCCGACCTTTGCCTCTGATGCAGTTCAGGTATCCTCTCTTCCAAGAAACCTCACCTAAGCTTGCCCACCTCACCAACCCCGGGGCATAGCAGTCGCTACCTTCTCTAAGGTCCCATACTTCAACACAGTAGGATAAAAATGTGTTTGCAGGGTGTGAGCTCCTTGAAAACCAGGATCCATCTGCTTTATCTCTGTATAAACCAAACCTGGCATAGACTAGATGCTCAATAAGTTCAGGTTAGTAATTGAGCCATCGAGAAGTAGTATTTCTATGCTGGGGCATAGAAATAGGGTGAGAAATGGGAGAAGGCATGAGGGAAATGACTCCCTGCAGCTGGACCAGAACTCTGCAGTAGGCAGGGCTGGTCCAGTGTGATGTGGGTTTCCTGAAGAGCTGGGAGTATCCTGTCCACAGAGGCATATAAGCTGAGATTGGAGAACCACCTTGGAGGATGGTATGGGATGCATTCAAGCACAGAACACATTTCAGATCACACAACCTCTGGTACCTTTCAACTCTAAAGCCTAAGGCTCAGCTCACTGAATGCCTACAACTGAGCAGGTACTGAGTCAAGTGCTAAGTGTACTTTTTTGTATAGTCCTCAAAACCATCCTTTGCAGTAGGTGCCATTATTATTCCCATTTTACAGATGAGGAGATTGAGGCTGAGAAATGTAAAACTCGCCCAAAGTCACACAGGTGGTAGAGGATCTGAATATGGATCTGGTCCTGGCCTGACACTCTCAGCCACTAGGAGATCAAGCCCTGGCACGTCTGAAGGAGCATCCCTCTGACCAAACTGGTCTGATGAGATCACCAAGTGGACTCCCAGTGTGCCCTGACTCATCACTTAGCCTCAGGAAATCTCCACCCTCACCATTCCTCCCTTGCACGTGGGCATCCATGGTCCCAAGAATGTTTATTCACAATTTAACACACATGTTCTCCAGAGGCAGCTTATGAGCCATGCAGACTTATTCGACACAACTCATGTGGCATTTGTCCTAAAATAACTAGTCACCATCACATAACATGCACACATACATACAGACTTGTTCCCACAAGGGTTCACACATGTGCATTTTCAGCCAAAGGACATGGATGCTTGTGCACACAGAAGCTACACAGACACAAAACCTCATGTTTATCCCCATACAACAGATGCCCATGTTCATCTCACATGGCTTAAGCACCCACATCTGCTCAATGTCACACATCAAATCCTCCCACAACAAGAACTTTATCCATTGTTCCCAGATCTAATACTGGGCCCAGGTGAGCAATGATGCTGCCTCCCTCTGGGGTTGGCCAGGCAGCCCTAAGATGGGGAGATGGCTCAGCCTGCCTGTGATGGATGGAATTAATCTACTGAGCTGGAGAAACTAAATAATTAAATCCCTAATCACCCCCCAAGCCAGCCCAAGCCAATATAGCTGAGGGAGGGAGGGGGCTCTCAGGCCCAGACCAATATCCTAGAGAGGAGGAGGGGCTTGGGAAGAGAGGCCTAGACAGAACCCTCTAGGAGGGTTCTTTGGAAGGCAGACAAGCAGCCATGGTTCTCCCTCTCCACGTGAAAACGGAGCAGCTCGGGGAGATGGCCCACCAGCACCCACTCACACAGGATGAGACCGAGGGGTACCATCCTCCTCCCACCAGCCCCAGAGCCCTTCCTGTCTCTCCAGGGTGTGGGTCTTAGGAGAGTAAGGGGACGGGGTGGTGCGCAGAACATTCAAAGTGCACAGGACCACGGTCATCCATGGCGATCGACCGCCCAAAGGGGCGCTGATGCAGATCAGTCAGGCCCCGGCCACCCCTGGAAGAGGCCCTTCCCCAGCCTGGCGCAGAAGGCAGGGAAGGGCCCTCAGCACAGGTGCGGCCTGCTTCCCTCAGGAAGAGGGGCCAGCACGTGACTAACAGGCTGAGGAAGGAGCAGAGGCCTGGGCAGGCGGGCTCAGGGAACGAGCCTGGGAACAGGCCCCAGTCTGATTGGCTGAAAAGTGGGTCATTTTCCTTTTGAAAAATAGGGAGAAAATGGAGAAGTAGGTCGGGCTCTCATCCCCTCAGCCCCAGGAACCATGCCTTGTGGGGTGGGGCGAGAAGGAGAGGTCTGCACCTGCCAAAGCCCCCCCTCTCCCCCAGGACCCCACTGGGGCCCCCGGTACAGGAGGCCAAGGTCGTCATCACTCACGACGCCCAAGGACATGCAGCCTCTAAGGCCAGGCCGGGAGCACAAGTCTCACCCTGCCCTGGGGGCCCTGGGCCCGACTGGAGGGGTGGGGGGGCTCAGGCACGCAGGACCTGGAGGAGCCCCCTCCCATCCTCCCGTCTGTGTGGTGCTTCCTCGCCTCTCCTCCCCTCCCTTTCCTCAACGTCCACGTGGGCAGAGTCGTTGCCATGACACCGCGCGCAGGTGGGCGGCTCTGGCGGCTGTCTGGGCCCAACCCCCACGCTCAGAGCCCAGGTGGGAGGGGAGCGGCGGCAGCGCCCCCGCCCCTGGTCCAGAGGCGAGCAGAGATTGGCAGAAGGCCCCTCACACACCCCAGAACCCCGAGTCTCTAACTCTTGGAAAGGAAGCAACACAGATGCAGGCTTGGGGGTCTCGGGGAGGAGCTCTCAAAGAGGACTTGAGGTCTTCATCCCCGCCCACCCCCGGCCCCTAGGAGTCAGGGGGCGGCGCCGGAGGGGCTGACCCAAGGCTCCCACCTCTTCCTCCGTTGCTCACCCGCCGGCCTCCGAGTTTCCCCAGGTACTAAGTTTCCGTCGCTTCACCCTAGACGCTGAATGGTCCTGCCCGAGGGCTAATCTCAGTGCCTCATTCTGCAACGCAAACTCAAGTCTCCGTGCTCTCTCCTTAGGGAGAAAATCAGACCAAGGTGAGACACTCAGAGAGATTCCTCCCCTACCACCAAACCCCTAGTCTGTCCTCTGGAAATTGGGTCTCCATTCCTTGGGTGTCCCCATATCCCTGAACTCACACACCCTGGGGCAGGGGGGAACCGCTCACTCCGAAGTCCATACTTGTGGTCACATCAGTCACCCTACTAGGAAAAAGGAGCAGAGAGAGGAGGAGGGGCAGAGAAAGATGGGGCTACCCAGTGGATGCCCTCTGAGGATGCCGTCCTGCCTCTCACCACATCTGGCCTCAGGAAGTCTGGGCCTGGCCTGCGGTCGCTGCCTCTAAGCACCCCTCTCACGGTCCACGTGCCTCCCCCACATGTGTCTAAGTCTCTGTGACTCTGACTTCTGAAGACCCTTTCCACTGTTCAGGACCCAGGACCCTACCCTTGTGTGCTGAGGCAGAAGCCCTGCATCACTGACCAAATGGAACCTGCCTGGCAGTCCTTTGAGCTTGCTTGACAGAGGAAGGCAGATGTGTGGGGAGCATCCAGGGTTAGCTGGAGGGTGTCCAGCTTGTCACTCGGTGCTCATGGCATCCATACCATATTAACATATAAAGACATTTTTACTTTCTTCCTTAGCTTTCTTTGACTCAGACAGTAGATGTGACTGGCTAAACTATAATACGTGCGCACACGTGGGCCTATGTGTGTGTGCATGCGTGTGTTTGTACACTGTATCTCCCTCTCTCCACCTCCACTCCTGATGTTCTCCATCAGGCCACCCTCATCCTAAATTTCCACCAAAGCTTTTCCAGTGGGTTCCTAACTGGCCTCTCCACCTTGTAGCTTGGCCTAGCGGATCCACTCTCCTCACTGCCTGCCACTGTGATCAACCTAAGATCTGTGTGTAGTGAGTGCCTCTGAGCCAGGCGCGCCTCGGAACACAGTGGGTGCCAGAGCAAACCCAGATCTCCTCATGCTCCGTTCTCATGAAGTTTATATCCTAGTGGAAAAGGAGATGCGGAACAAATGTATGAAATAATGGAGGTGGTAAGTGCTGAAAATTTTTTTTTTGAGGTGAGAGGACAGCATGACAAGGGGGCTATTTAAGATAGACTGTGGGGGAGGCCTCTCCAAAAAAGTGACTTTTGAGCGAAGACTTGAATCAAGTGAAGGAGTAAGTCACGCGGGTACCTGGGGGGAGAGCACTTCAGGCTGAAGGGAAAGCAGCGGCCCTGAGATGAGGCTGTGCTCAGCTCAGCATCTTTGTGGAACCGAAAGGAAGCACTTGCAGGGAAGGAACTTGAAATCAGGGAAGTCACCGGAGGCTACTTTACATACAGCACTTCTGTCGCTCAGGGCCCACTAAGCACTCAGGATTTCACTCTGACTGAGATGGAAAGCCATGGGAAAGGCATGATTCTGCCTCCCCACTGGCTCAGATGGTGAAGAATCTGCCTGCAATGCAAGAGACCCAGGTTCAATCCCTGGGTCAGGAAGATCCCCTGGAGAAGGGAATAGCTATCCACTCCAGTATTCTTGCCTGGAGAATTCCATGGACAGAGGAGCCTGGCAGGCTACAGTCTATGGGGTCGTAAAGAATCCAACATGACTGAGTGACTAACACTATCTTAGGCTGGCTGCTTTCATGGGGAAGCTCTCTGGAGGAAGGGATGGCAAGGGAGGAGGTAAGGAGACCAGTTGGGACCTTTCCTGTCACTGAAACACCTTTTCCTAAAGTTGCCCACCTGCTAAATACCTGTTCAAGCCTTGGCTCAATGGCCTCCTCTTCTGTGGATCCTTTCCTAAGGCCCTCCCTTTCCCACTCTGGAATTGACCAAGCCCTCCACAGACCCCCACTCGCCCCCATGAATACATCTGTCCTCCTGCTTTCCTGAACACTCTCCTGGATCCAGGTCTCGATTGTAAGTTACCCGAGGTTGAGGACCATCCCCAGTGTCCAGAACAGTACATGGCACAACACAAGCATGAGGTAAACATTGGCTGAGTGAATGGATGAGTCAGGGGAGGCACACGTGATGGAAGAGGGACTCTTCATAAGCTGTTGTTAACCTGGGTGAGTGAGCTCATGGGTTGCCATCAGGCCAATATTAGGACATGCGTGCATGTTAATTTGCTTCAATCGTGTCTCACTGTTTGCAACCCAATGAACTGCAGCCTGCCAGGCTCCTCTGTCCATGGGATTCTCCAGGTAAGAATAGGAAGTGGGCTGTCATGCCCTCATCCAGGGGATCTTCCTGACCCAGGGATAGAACCTGCGTCTCTTATGTCACCTGAATTCCTTACTACTAGCACCACCTGAGAAGCCCAATATTAGCAAATGCCTACATATTTAGTAAATGCATATATATTTTGCATACTCTGTCTATATACATATGTGTGTTAGCATGTATGTTTACATTGACAAACCCCTCTTTTTGTAGGTATATTCCTGTAGATTTTTTCATGTGTACACATTAGAAAGTACATTTATGTTGAAATATGCATAGACAAAAAGGCAAAGACAAGTAATGTACACATATACATATACACAAATACATGTATATGTGAGCACAGGCTGATGCACACACTTGGACCTCCCTAAAATCCCTGCCCCTTTCATCCACTGAGCCCAGGTTGTCCTGTTTGATTCTTGAAACCTCAGTAGTAATGTTAACATTCAAGCTCTCAAACTCTTTCCCCATATACACTCCTGGGCACCATAGCATTTGATCAGCCTTGAGCTCAGCTCCCTCACTCAGCTGTCCCTAAGGCCTGCACAGGCCTCTCCTCTGCAAACTCCCTTCATATGGATGGTGGTGGGGAAGAGTTGAGGCCCCATGAAAGATAATTTGAGAGACCTCAAGGAGCCTGGTTTTTGGAGAAGAGCTACAGGCATCAGAGTGGATCAAGTTCAAGCCTGTGTGAAAAAAACTTTTGAACAGCCCCACTGTTTGGTCAGAATCTCTCTTTCATCCTTTCTGTCACATTCATTCACGTGGATGACAACTTATATACATATATATTCATACGCTGTTAATTCATGCGCCGCCACATACATGCTGCATGCATACTTACATTCACATACACATATGGTCGAGTGAGCACCCCACCCCCCCCACAGGTTTAACTGGGTAATTGCCTTTACAGTCACATGTATACCTAGATGCATGCATAGAGCCCTACATATCTATATACATGTGTCTATACAAACTCACCAATGTGTTTGTACACATTCATAGAGCACTCTCACACTTATGTATGGACATATACACAGTCACACACACACTCACAGGCAGAAATACACACGCACAGGCACTGGAAGAGCAGAGACACCCAGCCTCTCCTCTGGCTTTTCTATCCTATGCACAAAACCGGAAGTCCATCTTCTCTCCCAGTGACACCACAAGCTTGCATTTGCTCTCTCCTCTTGCCAGTCTCCCAGTTCTTTCTGGAAAGTTGTTCCTATTATCAATAAGATATGCCCCACTCCTGGACATACTCCATTTCTACCCACTCACAGAAAAGAAAAAGTCATTCCGAAAAAGGGCTTTGTTATCCCCTTGTCTCATGCCTGGAATAATCAGTATTTCCACAGACAACCTGGGAGGCAGGGAACATGAAGCAGGAGGAGAAGCACCTCAGAGGAGAAGCACCTTTATCCACCCAAAAGGCAGCCCCCACCTCCCATATATCTAAAACTTTTTAATTCTAAAAGGGGAAATGAAGGGAAAGTATTAAGGCCAGGGTTCTTCCTCCCAGTCCCTCTGGGTATGGTACACAGCTCCCAGATTCCAAAACAGCTATTGGGGCAGAGAAAAGAACAGTACAAACATTGTCTCTGGGCACTGAAACTTCTTGGGATGCCTCTCTTCTTCCCCAGAGGACAGCTTCATGAGGTCTAGTGAAACCCTCCCACCCCTGGAGGCTTAAAAATGTAAAGAGTGGGGGTAACCTGGGCTCACAAGACTAAAAGAAGCAACTATTTAGAGAGCAGGAGCTGGTTAGGGAGCAGGAAAGCAAACTGAAGACCCTTCCCAGCAGGAAAGCAGCTGCTGAAACACTAGATGTGAATGTAGCAAGACTCTCCAAGGGGCCCGGGAGAAGGGGGTGGACATCCAACATTCCATGTGGGGGTGGAGGGGTGACTGCTTCAGGCAGTGGCAGCAGCTCCAAAGTAAAGTCTTATCAAAGCTGTTATGTAACCAAGAGAGCTGAGTAGAGCACAAACACCTCCCCTCCCCAAACAGGCACCCACACCCACACCCACCACCTCCCAGCACCCACAGCACAGGAAAACTCAGCTCCTCCCAAGCAACCAGAGAAGAATCATCTTGACGAGTTACATGAAAAACATGATGGGTGAGGGGCTCCTTATTAACCAGAAGTCACATCTGGAAAGGTCAGACCTGGTTCAGTATGGGGTCCCTAACTACCTCCCCCTTTCTGTGAACTCCCTGCCACACCCATTTTTTGCCCAGCATCCGGAAACTTTCTCCTTCCTCTCCCCTCAAGAAGGATGCCATTTGAATATTTGATTGTTCTCCTGGGGATGGGAGGTGAAGCTGCCATCATCCACTCCTGCCTGTTGTTCCCCCACAGTCTCATCTGCATGTCCTGACATTTGGCTCTCATCCCCCTGGGATGACAAGAGAAGGGACCCAGAGAAATAAATCCTTGCTCTATTCCCTTCAGATTTACAAAGATGGAGCATAAGAACCCAGAAAACTGAGATGATCCTGACCCTAGATTAGTGGGGAAAAGATTTACAAAGGAGCTGAGGATTGAAATCCAGAACCCCAATCCCCCAATTTGAGTAGCTTTTTTCTCCCCCATATTTTCCTCTTTGCCCACTGCCCCATCGCTAGTAGCCTCCTCCTTCTCTGCTCCATGGCACTGAACAACCCCACCCACTCCTTGAGTCCTCTGCTTGGAAACCTTCCTCCCCAACAAAAGTCTCTCTCAAATGCTGCTCTGAGCTGTGGCTGGGCTGGGCAAAACAGGAGACAGGCTTGCAGAGTATTTCACTGCCCCTTTCCTGAATTCAAAAGTATGATGGGCAGGGGGATGTTACATGGTCAAATTATCCAGTACTCCTGAGCTCTACCCAACCCAGGCCTGAACTGGCAAAACCTGAACTCTCTTAGTTCAGATCTGCCTTGAGTCTGAACTTCTGGGACCCAGTAGGAGAAAGGCTGGTGCCAGTACCCCTAAGCTTATTGTGCTAAAAACTATCCAGGAGAAGAGAGCTCACAGCAGAAACATCATCATCTATCCATACCCCGACACTAGCCATATGGTGGTTTCAGAAAGGGGAGGAGGAACTGAAACAGGAAAAGAGGGGTCCCTTTCCCACATACTATTAAGAATGGTGAGGCCTAAGACCAGAGGAAGGACCCCAAAATCTATCTATCCACCCAAGGACTCTGTCCTTGGAAAGTGGGTCATTTGGAAGAATTTTTCTAGTGAGCCCTCAGCTCTGCCCATAACCGGTCCCCCAATGCAGCCCCAGTCAATACTCAGAACAGTTCCAAAGCAGCAAATCCTACCGAGTCAAATTCAGCACCTGGGACAGCTCCCAGCCACTCTGCGGGCCCCATTGCCAGAAAGGCAGGATGCCAGAAAGGAAAGGCTTACCCCACTCTACACCCTCTTGAGTACAGAAGCCCCTCTCCCCTGCCCCTCCCACACTCACTCCCATCCACCGGAGGCACCTGGTACTCCTCCTTTCTCTCTATGTCCAAAGAAAGAAAAGAAACCCAGACACGAGACTTCCCTGAGTGAGCCTAGAGAGAGGACCCCACCCACCTCTTTTCAGCCCTGAGCCTCTCAACGCCACTCACAGCTGGTTCTAAAACCACTTTCCTTCTCAACCACCACCCCCAAAAAATAAAAGAAATACTCACGTGGGGGCTCCCAGCCCTGCAGGCAGATGTGGTGGGGGGAGGCAGAGACAGGTAGCTCCCCACACCCTGTTCTGAGCCCCCTTTCTGAAGGAGCCAGCTCCCATCTGGACTGGGGGGAGGAAAGACATGTGGAAGCACTGAGTGAGGGGAGGGG